CCATGTGAGGATACATAGAAGGCCTCATCTATGAGAAACAGGCCCTCACCAGATACTACATCTGCTGATGCCTTCAGTTTGGACTTCACAGCCTCCAGAACTGTGAGCAATAAATTTCTGTTGTTTATAAATTACCCAGGCTAAGGTATTTTGTTATAGTTGCCTGAACAGACTAAGATAACCCTGAAGGACAGCCATGCATCCAGAAATAAATTTTGTTTCCAGAACTGCCTTTGAGAAGAATCCCCTGATCAAAATCCTCAGTGTTCTGCCATCAGAAACGTTCCCTTTGGAAAAAACGTATGGGCTAAGAAAGAATCTAAATCTTCTCTTGGTTCACCTAATAGTATGAGTAACAATTCCTTTTTTGTATTAAACTACTGGAGTTGTTCCAATATGCCATGCTGTGTAAAACCTTGTATGCTTTGTTTCAAGGACGTTGGCTTTGGAGGCTAGAAGACAGGATCTAGTAATTAATTCCTGTGTTAGCATAAATGGCCATAAACTGAAGGAATTAGGGAATCCACACAAGCTCCCCAATGGATCACAGATCATACAAACAGTCATGCACCATATGATGACGTTTTAGTCAATGATAGACTGTATACACCATGACGGTCCCATAAGATTATAATGGTGATGAAAAATTCCTTTTCTATATTTAGGTATGTTTAGATACACAAATATTTATCATTGTGTTACATTGTGTTACAATGGCCTATGGTATTCAGTACAGTAACATCCCATACAGGTTTGTAGGCTAGGAGCACTAGGCTATACCATATAGTCTACATGTGTAGTAGGCTATATTCTAGGTTTGTATAAGTACACTCCATGATGTTTACGCAACGACCAAATAGCCTAATGATGCATTTCTCAGAACATAGCAACTCATGACCATATTACAAAATGGGCGACTCTGTGTTTATGTTGGCCAGGAATTTCTGCCTTTTTGTTTGCACTTCTCTGAATGCCTCTAGTTAGCTAGTGGGATTTTGTGAAATTTTCAAGATAAATTCCCTGTAACTTTCCTCCACTGCAAATACAGTTATGTAGCCCTTTTTACTGGGGGTACTGGAGAAGATGGAGAAAAACAATGTAACCAAATCAATTAGGCAATGGCATTTTTCCAGTTCTGAAAGGCCGACTTCCTACAATACTTACTAGCTGGTTGACTCATTTGGCACCAAATATAGTGGCTACTTCAGGATTTATCTGTTTCAAATATGTATGTTTTATCTCCCACCAACTCTAATCATTTGCTGCTACAGAGACTAGCAGTGCCTCACTTTTCTTTTGAAAATGGTATAACTACTTTGGAATATAGTTACGTAGATTCTTGAAAAGTTAAATAATCTCAGAGGGAAAAAAAGGACAATAGGCAAAAACTAAAAAAATCTGAATAAAGAAATGCCTTTAGTTAGTAATAATGTATTAATTTTGATTCATTAATTATTACAAATGTCACCCCCTATCACTCCATTCATTCCTGCCCACCAGCCCTAACCATAGGAACTTAATTAAGATATTGATAGGGGAAACTGGGTGCAGAGTATATAAGAACTCTCTATACTATCTTCATAATTTTTCTGTAAATCAAAAATTAGTCTAAAAATAAAGTTTGTTTAAAAAAGATTTAAAGTTTTTTTTAAAAAAAAACAAACTGGAAAAGTTAAATGTATGCCTGCTATAAAATTCAGCCACTCCAAGTCTAGGCATATAGCCAAGAAAATAGGAAATACATGTGTATACCAAGACGTACATATGAATGTTCATTGCAGCTTTATTTGTAATAGTCCCAAACTGGAAATAACACAAATGTTAATTCAAAAGTGAATGAATAAGAAAATAGTTGTATATTCATATACTACTCAACAATAAAACAGGAATGAACTATTGATACATAGAGCAAGAGGGATAAAACTCAAAATAATTGTAAGTGAAATATTCCAGAGAAAAACAAGTACCTACTCTATGATTTTGTTTAAATAAAACCTCTAGAAAATGTAGACTGATTTATAATGACAGGAAGATCAGCATTGAGGGAGAAGGGCAGGACAGAGGGATTTCAAAGGGGCACTAGGAAATGTAGGCATGATTAATATGTTATCTGCATTATGGTAATGGTTTCACAGGGATAGACATATATAACGCAGGATTTACGATTGCACATTTTAAATTGTGTGGTTTGTTGTATGTCAATTATACCCCAATAAAGCTGTTCATTTTAAAAAATCTACTCAGATGGGCCAGGTGCAGTGGCTCATGCCTGTAATCCTAGCACTCTGGGAGGCCGAGGCGGGTGGATCCTTTGAGCTCAGGAGTTCAAGACCAGCCTGAGCAAGAGCGAGACTCCATCTCTACTAAAAATAGAAAGAAATTAGCTGGACAACTAAAAATATATAGAAAAAATTAGCCAGACACGGTGGCACGTGCCTGTAGTCCTAGCTACTTGGGAGGCTGAGGCAGGAGGATCACTTGAATCCAGGAGTTTGAGGTTGCTATGAGCTAGGCTGATGTGATGGCACTCTAGCCTGGGCAACAGAGTGAGATTCTGTCTCAAAAAAAAAAAAAAATCTACTCAGACATATACAGGAAAAGAGAGATCTTAGGCTCATGTAATTACTACCTTTGATCACGAAACATACCTCTGAGCTTTTTGGTAGTAGATATTCTGCTACTAACTATGTACTAGTGTACCTATCACTTGCCCTTTTGGGGACAAGTTTCTTGTTCTGAGAAAGGAAGAGTGACCTTTAAGGTCTTTTATAGGCAGATACATTGATAATAATCTTAAACATGTATCTTATAAAACAATTTAGAAGAAATTCAGTTGCATTATTTTCAAATAAATCTTAACTTGAAGTTGCCTAATAAAATGTTACTAATTAGGAAGCTTAAAGTTCAAATGGAAATTAATACTTAAGAATTATTTGTAGTATATTATTATTATTATTATTTTGGAAAATCTGCTCTGCTCTGTACCAGGCAATCAATGAGAAGGGTTTTTTTTTTTTTAATATAAAAACCAGCTTTATGGAGAGATATAATTCACATGCTATATAATTCATCCATTGGAAGTATACAATTCATTGCTTTCTAGAATATTCACAGATTATGTGCAACCATCACCATGGTCAATTTTATAACATTTTCATCATCTCAAAAAGAAGCACCAGCCTGCTTAATGGGTTCAGGCTTTCCTTCTGGAGTGATGAACATGTTTTGGAACTAGATAGTGGTGGTGGTTGCACAATATTGTACTAAATGCCACTCAATTGTAGACTTTAAAATGGTCCATTTTATGTTATGTTGTATTTTACCACACATGAAAAATAAACCTATATACTTTAGCTATAACCCCCTATTACTCCATTCCTTCCCACCAGCCCTAAGCAACCAGTAATCTACTTCCTGTTTGTGTATATTTACTTAATATGAACATTTCATATAAATGAAATCATATACTATGTGGTTTTTTTTGTCACTGAGAATAATGTTTTTAAGGCTTATCCATGTTGTAGGTCAGCACTTCATTCCTCTTTATGGCTAAATAATATTCAATCGTATGAATATACCACATTTTATTTATCCACTCCTCAGTTAAACATTTAGGTTGTTTTCAATTTTTGTCTATTATAAATAATGCTGCTATGAACATTTTTAGACAAGTTTTTGGGAGGATGTATGTTTTGATTTCTTCTGGTTACATGCCTAGGAGGGGCATTGCTGTATTATATGGTAACTCTATGCTTAACCATTTGAGGAATTGCCAGACTGTTATCCAAGGGGGCTGCATCATTTTACATTTCTACCAGCAGAGCATGAGGTTTTCAATTTCTCTATGTCCTCACCAACACTTGTTATAATCTGACTTTTTTAGTATAACCATCTAGTAAGTATAAATTTGTATCATGTGGTTTTGATTCACATTTCCCTGATGACTAATGATGTCGGGCACCTTTTCATGTATTTGTTGCCGAGAAATACACTCCTATAATCAATAATTTGCATAGGCTCTCAGGGGGTTCATGAACTCTCAAAAGTTAGGAACCCCTAGAGAAGACTTATTGGGTGGACACATGGAGGGAAATTATCATGAGAGTAATTTAAAATTATATTTAAACATAGTAAGTAATATAAGTGTACTTGTTTATTTATACTGCTATATACTCAATAAGAACACTGAAAATAATACATTTTAATATCAGTTACACTTAAATATTAGATTGATTTCTACTACATGATTCTTAATGGGAGTGTAAGGGGGAAGGGTCCCAATTCCTATCAAAATGAGGAACATACATTACACATCACCATCTCTGAAACCAAATGGAAACCCCATAAACTGAGTGAGGTAAGAAAGGTTACCTATCTCTTTTTGTATAATGAGAAGGTACTAAATAGAATTAGAAAACCAATAGAATTGATATCTATACACTAGAGAGTTATCTGGGTAATAGGAGAGTGAAAAGAGATCTAGGCATGTGCTAAATGGAAGGATCAGTCATTTTGAGGTTGAGCAGTGGATGCTGGGAAAAATCAACAGTATCCAACATGAGTCAATAGTTATTTTGGCTGAGTACCAGCCTGCTATTGCCACTGCAGCTTTACACTTGTGACATGTGAAGGTTGTCTGTTGCCAGGGAATAAATGGACAGTGATCGGAAAAGTCACCTGCAAAGTTTGGATCTTTCCTGTGATTGGATGGAGTAACTATGGCCTAAGCTTGAGAATCTAGAAGAAATTGGCTCAGGCAGCTTTGGGAGGGTCATTATACCCTGAAGACATATCCTTAGAACAAGAGATAAACCTTCTTATGTTAGAAGCTTATGCATTTGCATTTAAGGCAGTCACCCTTGCTTTCTCCACCAGATCAGCATTTAGAGAATGGAATGATTTGGAGTTGCAATTAAAATCCTGGGCAGAATCCCTTTCGGGATGTTTCATTGCTTAACAGCAAAGACAGCAAAGAAAGATAAGCAATTCAAGGTCTGTACCTTATTTCACCTTCTCTAATGTGACCTGCCAGTTCTTCAATAAATTTCTCCCCTTTCATCCAGTAGATCATTGGCCCGGACTCTCCACTGAATCCGAAGAATGCTTTGCAAGGGATGTTCAGAGGCTTACCTGAGAATGAGAGAAAAAGAAATGAGCAGATGACTCCTGGTTATCACTGGGAGACAGGAAGGGACCATTTAACATCCGAAGGAAAACTCTGAGGTAACCTATTTTTCAACTCTTCCTCCAATCATCCTATCATTGTGCATGAGAAAATTTTAAGTAAGTTACGAGGGCTTGTGGGAAATTTTAAAATTCAAGGCATTATCGAAAATGAGAAAATAAAGATAATCAGTTTTTAGAACTGTTTATTTTTACTGCTTCCCTCTCAGGAACTAATATGAAAGAATCAAATGAAAAGAATACCTTTTTCTTTTTCTTTTTTTTTTTGAGACCATTAAGCACTGCTTACTTGGGCTTGCCTTTGTAGCTAACATTAATGAAAAGAATAAGTTAAATTTTTTTGGTGACAAGACATATCATAACAGACTATCCTCTATTATTAAGACTGCACAGGGAAAATTTGTTTATTTTGATTATTATATATTTTAAGAAAAATTGAATAATATAAAGTATAATGGTTAATTTTAGGTATGAACTTAACTGGAGTAAGGGATACCTAGATAGCTGGTAAAGCATTGTTTCTGGGTATGTCTGTGAGGACGTTTCCAGAAGAGACTGGCATTTGGATTGGTGAACTGAGTGGGGAAGATCTGTCTCAGTGTGGGCAGGCACCATCCAAGTGGCTGCCTACCCTGCTCCACTATGGAACAAAAGGCAGAAGAAAAGTGAATTCTCTCTCTGCCTCCCTCCCTCCCTTTTTTCCTCCCTCCTATTGGTTCTGTCTCTCTGGAGAACTCTAATACGCAAACCAAAGGGAAAATGTTTGAATTACAAATCTATCTATAAAAAGTCCATGCAGGGGAAGCTGTCTTACCATATGGTCTGTATTCTTGTATCACTCACAGTACTTAAATAATTCTAAGCAGTATTTAAGCACTTTTCATTGTGCATCTTTGTGATTTTAACTAAAATTCCGTTTTAATTGTAAATTCCTCACTACCTATATAAGCAACTGTTTCTTGCTGGCATTGATTTCATTTTCTTTTGGCAAAGTAGATCAGTAAGGGAAGAATGGTAGAGAGAACACATCTGGACATTTCTGACACAGGAATTCCCCCAATTCATAAATCATATTAGAGCATATTGTTTTCTCCATAATATACAATCCTTGCCCTAGTGAAAGCACTAGATAAAGCAATTTCAAAAATATTTTTTCCTTGTGGACTTCACGGTGGACTTGTTCCCATCATCACTCTGAGCCATGGACAAATTCTCCATTTTACACTTCGATCGATCCAAAACTTCCATGTTTTAAGAACCACTGCTTTCTGAAACCATTTCTCTTTAGTCACCAGAAATAGCAGATGGCTTTCTTTGAGGACCATTTTCACAAACAAACAATTTATATTAAGACAAGCAGAAATTAAAGAAACCCCATAGACATGTGGATGCTGGGCTGACCCCTAATAAGTGACTTGTTGCCAAATTAATAGTTTTATGATAGTACAAATGTATACCTCAGCAAAATGACATGTTGCAGACCTTGGGATCATTCCATAATTGTCAAAACCTTCAATGTCAAGATTCTGTCATATATATGTCAGACACAAATCTGAAACAAGCTTATTCATTGTTACTTTGAACGTGTGCTCTGTCACATAGCTGCGTAAAAGTGAAAGACAGTCTTGTACAGTAGAAAGTGCATTGGACTAAGAGTCAGGAAAGTTGGATCCTGTTTTGGATCTATGATGAACAAGACAAACTGGCCCTTGATAGATTACATAACATTCTGTAAAGTGATTTTTCATATATATATAATGAGGATGGTAATAGTATTTGGAAGGCTCACATAAGATAATGTATGCAAAAGTCCTTGGTGAACTCAAAAGCCCCATCCAAAGTTAGCATAGTGTTGTTTTCCTTCTGAGGCTTGGTCATCCAAGTAGAAGTCAAATTTGAGGCATGATCTGATGTGGATACCGAGATTGATACGTGTTCATTTTGACTCTGTCAGTCTATGCCCTTCTTTTATCTATGAGCTCCTGTGAGGCAATATCCTTCTTATATCAGCGTTCTCTAAAGTTTTTCTAAATTCTAGAGTAGGTATGATTCACCAAAGCAGGCCCTTAGTTCTCTAAACCTGAACAGATAGTTTTTTTCTATGCCTTGCTACCCTTCATTCCCATGAAATTGAAGGTATTAAGGAACATCAAACCAGATGGTAGAAAATCCAGAGATTGTGATAAACATTATTATAAGTGATCTCAGTTGCTAAAACTACCAGGATATACATTTATACATATAAACCTTGGTTGTCATTCCTTTGGGCTATGTTGAAAGAATCTATCAAATAAAATAACTTTTAGTGATTCCTAGTGTGTGGGTACTCAGACCTGGTTTGATTTTAATGGAGAAAGACAATTATAGCAATGTGCAAAAAGGGGCCTCCATGAGATGGTCTATCAAAAATGACAGCGTCTGCTCTTTTCTTGGCACTACACACAAGGTACTGACTATTGCAGCAATTTCTCCTGGGAGGAATGTTGTTACTCTCCCATCAGACAGGTTCTTGTTAAATAAACACATGAGACAGATATTTCAGCAGTCTAGTTTTTACACATGCTGGATAAATATCCTGAAGCCTTTTGTCAATGGCCAGAAACAGGAAAACCATCCAACCATCATACACAATACCCTGAGAAGAGCCTAAAATGATCAGCTCTTGTGCCAAATAGTGAGACTCCATGTGTGCCAGGGAGGGGACACCTCCTCTTCTAAAAGGCATGAGAGAGATCTCTGCATCGATTGGGCAAATGACCTGAAACATAATCTTTCTAGGCATTTCTAAAATTTGGCTTATGTGCAAACTCCTATCTACCATTTGCATCTGTTTGCTACTGTATAGTGTTGCCTCCAGATATTTTCAAAGTAATTCCTGCGTTACTGTATGCCCTATTAGTAGAGATGGCCAACTGACATTTACATATAAAGTAGGTTGAAGACTATCAAGATAAAAAGAACTTTATGCCTTGGTGCATTGGTGCTAGGTAATGAGGTAAGTGAGGCTTCTTGGAAAGTGGCATACATGCAGTGGATTGGCTCTCATTGTCCTAGCATTCCCCCAGTTCCCTTTCTCAGAGAGCTCTGTGAGCATCTGCATTGTAAGAAGGTTCCCTAGAGACCCTAAACATCTAGAAATTGCAACAGGCTTAAATTTTTATAGCCATGTATTTGCCGGACATGTGTCTTAAAATGGATGAACTCAGATTATTAATGTGTTCAGGAGGAGAATCCCTGGGGAGAGAGCTCAAATACCTATGCCCCATTAAGTTTTCTTGTGTTTTAGAGCTGAAACTTTTCAAAACCAGATGAGGTAAATCAAAATTGCCATGGTAGTAGTGGTAGTAGGGTCGGTGGGCCTCTGTGTGTGTATGTGCATGTGTGTGTGAGAGAGGGTGGGGTTAAGATGGAAATGGCAGTTGGACAGGAATGGGATCCACATGTGATAATTTCCACCATTTCTAAATAAGTACGATATACATCAGTGGTGTACTGGTAAACATTTAACAGCTGACCTTCTAGAAAAAAGCATGCATGTAAAAAAAAAGTTAACTAACCTTTTTAAAAAAAAACAGTATGCATGTAAATACATAAGTTTATTACAAACTTTACTAATATAAAGGATGTCACACAATATATACAATTTAAAAATAACAAAAAACTATTAATCTTGTAAATCCTACATAATTAATTCTTACAGAGTGCTTCCATTTACTTTTGTAGAACCTATGTTTGCAAAAAAAAAAAACACAACTGTAGTTCCGATATGAATATTGGTCAATATTTTCTTGAACATTAATGAGAAAGGTGAAACTAAAACAATAGATGAATGTCAGAACATGACTCTTCAGTGATATGAATGACTTCTTTTGATGAATTGGATAACAGATTCTGTTTGCATTTCATTTCCATAGCATTGTTCTTAGAAGACTGTTAAAAGGACCTAAAACTGAATCATCTGATATGAGAGAATTGCAAATAAGGTTGGAAAGATAAAATCTACTTTATTTTGACTACATATCTTAATCTCTTCTATCAGGACTTTCTAAGAATTTCTCAAGGCCAACAATTTGATTTTTAATACTTCTATCTATACCTGACCCCCCCCCCTTGATGGGCTATGGATTTCCTAATGGCCACAGATAACCATCAATGTCCTTTTCTTGCCAAACAGTTTTTCTCCATTCTTTGGTTTTCTCTTTAAACAATTTTCAACCTCTTGTTTTAAAGTCTCTTTTAAATTGTTCTATTATCTCTATTTCTTGGCATGCAATTCTTTTTTTTCCATTTGTGTCAGAGGAAGCATCCTTATGGTGATTAATTTTCTTGTGAGGTTTATAATTTCATGACTGTGTTTTCACCTACAGCAAGGATTGTTTTCTGTCGGAGTCCTGGAGTCCCAGATACTGAGTGTTGTAGAGGAATTCCCTCAGAGTTGTTCCAAGTTTGTCTTTGCCAAGGCCCTACGAGTTTTACTGGTTTGGAACCAGTTTTTCTGTTAATTTCTTAGCTTGGGGGTTTGTGCCACATGTGGATTGTGTGAATTTAAAGTCCACACCCATGCTCGGTCTAGGTTTAGAATTTCAATTTATCTTACATGTCTCTTTCCATTTTATGGCCATGGGTCTAGACCGAATGTCAATTTCCTGGCAGCTTTCCTGGACCAATGAGTGAGTTTTCTAGGCCCCATTTCATATACTTTTAGGCTTTATAAACCATTCAGGTTTCTAGATTTTTTTTTTTTCTGGGAACTTAGTTCTAGCTCCATACTTTACATAGATCCTCAGTTCAAGCCCTTAGACCTCTAAGGTCCACATCTGGTTCTGATATCCCTAGGAACTATTCAACTTTATATTCCTTTCTTTGGCTCTTAGTTCCCTATTCTTTCCTAAATCTTGAGACATTCCCCTACTTGCTTTCAAGCTAGGATAAGCAGGTAAAAATCT